CAACATTTTGATCTTGGATTTCTAGCCTCCAGAACTGGGAGAAAATAAATTTCTGTTATATAAGCTACCAGTTTGTGGCACTTTGTTAGCAAAGTAATATAAACAGGGAGAGCACAGAAGAATGATTAATTATTGGTAATGACTGAGCAGCTACTGTCAGTTCAAAAATGAATTTGCCAATGAAAGAAGCAGGAAAGGTATTCCAAGAAAAAATATGAGCTTGTGAAAATGTACGGAAGTCTAAAGAAGGATGTGCCAGCAGTTTGCACTGGGCTGATCACATGCTGTAGCAGTGGAGTGGTGAGAACACGGTGATCTGTTCATAAATGTCCCTGTAAACAGTGCGCTACAAATTTCATCTTATAATTGATAGAGAGCAATCCGAGGCCCAAGGGAATTATTAAATCTATTTTCATGTTTTAAAATGTTTCTGCTCTGTAAATATGGTGGCAGTAGCAGCATAGCTTTTCAATCTACCAAAATGACCCCATTAAAGTAGGCAGAGAGAAACTGAAGGAGTATGAACAATGCCTGCTCATACCAATAGCAACAATACCAATACAGCTCAGTGCTGAGATAACCCCAAGATAATTACCAAGGGACAAATTAGGGACAGCTCATAAGAGCATTGTGATATTGGCAACCATGCAGGAAGAAGCAGAGAGAAGCTTTGAGAACAGAAGAACCTCCAAATCCCCAGCAGCCGCTCATCACAAAGTGCAATGGACCAATCTTAGAGGAGCAGAAGAACCTAGAAGTGTGTTCTCAATGATCCAGTGCAAGTCCAAGTCCACGGAGACCATAATGCAATAACATATAATGCTATTGGAGTAGTCTCACTACACACAGAGTGAGGACCCTTCCAAGACAAGACTCCACAATGAAGATAATCTGCTGGAAATAGATGCCAAAGTTGAGCAGGACAGGGACAGCTATGAGAAATGCAAGAGAGAGTCCAGATTCAAAGCAAGGAGCAGGGGAACAGAGGATGCTGATGTCAGAAAGTTGGCAAGTGATATTCTTTTTGTCTCTCATGAAAACAAAAGAGGAATGATCTCTGGAGCTATGAGGCCAGCCAAGCAATCCTGGACCCCTACCATCCTAAATCTGCATAAAAACTAAACTAATTCATTTTTAAACTTAGCAATAAGAAAAAAGATCAAAACTATTATAAGGAATAAAGAATAGGAAAATGATGATGTACCTACAGATAATGAAAGCATACCAAGAAAACAAGTAAAAACAGATAAAAACGATAAGCAAATATTTCAAAATGAGTTGAAAGAAATGAAGAAAATTATAAAAATATAACACAAATCAGAATCAGAAAAAAATAGAAAAGACATGTATAGAAAAAAGTTAGATTTTACAAGAAAGATGATGTAACTCAATATAGAATTCTATTTTTTTAAAAGCAGCTCAGAAGTGAAAACTCAACTAGTAGGGGTGTAACAGCATCTAAAAACCATAATTAGAAGATAAATAGATAGTAGAAAGGAGGAAAAAAATTAAATCTGTAAGCTATTTGAGAATAAAAGCATTCAGGGAAGTTGACTGATATAGAAGATAAAGAAGATACAATATAAATAAATAGGGGTCCTCAAAGAAGAATACCAAAGTAATGAAACAAACAAAAATGCTCAATAGTATTAATAAAGAAGACTTAAAACTACGTAATGAAGGGAAAATTGATACAGAACAACCAATATCAAGATATATTCTAATAAAACTATAGGTCTTCAAAAAGAACCAAATATTCCTTGGAGATCCAAACAAAAAGTTCAAGTAGTTTATAAAAGAAAGAATATAAGATTTTTATCAGACTTCCATGACAATACTTCATGCTAATAAGCAATAGAGTAACGGATTTAATAGACTTAAATAAATAAATTGCAGATCTTGGATTTTGTATGGAACATACATAGATTTTACAGTCATCCAACCTGACACTTCAATGGAAAGTTTGCCCCTGCTATTCTATTTTTGTACTTTATTGCTGTATCCCTAGCATCCTCCCTTCTTGGTATCAGAAAATCTTTGCATTAGGTAGGTGAAGTTCTTTCACAGACTCCAGAAATGGGCACCAATTTTCATGTAGAATTGTGAGACGTTAGGGTTTAAGTAATAAATGTAATCTATTCCCATGCAAGTCAAGATTGATAACTGCAATTATAAGATTGATAACTGCTATTATAAATATGTAAGAACGCAGAGAATATTATCCCTACACATCTTTCTTAGGGAACCTACTAGAGAGTAAACTTCAGACAACCAAACAAACTGCAGAGTCATTGACATAATAGCTGGAGAAGTTTTCTAGCCAATTTAAGAAAAAAAAAAGTGATACGAATAGCCAAATCAACCTTGGAAGAAAAAAAAAACACACACACACAATGCTAAAGACATCACAATTCCAGACTTCAGGTTATATTACAAAGCTGTAGTGATCAAAATAGTATGGTACTGGTGCAAAAATAGACAAATAGATCAATGGAATATGATAATAGAAAACCCAGAAATAAATCCACAACTATCTGGTCAACTAATTTTTGACAAGACAAGAAAGACTATCCAATGGGAAAAAGACAGTCTCTTCAACAAATGGTGTTGGGAAAATTGGACAGCATCATGCAAAAGAATGAAACTGGGCCACCTTCTTACACCAAATATACACAAAAATAAATTCAAAATGGATTAAAGACCTACATGTGAAGCATGAAACAATAAAAATCCTAGAGCTGTAACCTCCCTGACATCAACTATTATCAACTTCTTTCTAGATATGTCTCCTGAGGCAAGGGATACAAAAGCAAAAATAAAACTGTTAGAACTTCTTCAAGATAAAAAGCTTTTACCCAGTGAAGGAAGCAATCAACAAAACTAAAAGGCAGCCTGTGGAATGGAAGATATTTGTAAATAACATATCTGATTAAAGGTTAGGACCCAAAATACATAAAGAACTTATAAAAGCCAACCCCAAAACTAAATAATCTGATTGAAATATGAGCAGAAGACACGAAGAGACATTTTTCCAAAGAATACAAATAGATGGTCAACAGACACATGAAATGATGCTCAATATCACTCATCATTAGGAAAATGCAGATCAAAACTGTAAACTCACACAGAATGGCTAAAATCAGCAACACAAGAAACAACAGGTGTTGGCAAGGATGCAGAGAAAGGGGAACCTTCTTACACTGTTGATGGGAATGCAAACTGGTGCAGCCACTCTGGAAAACAGAACAGAGTTTCCTCAAGAAGTTAAAAATAGAACTACCCTACAAACCAGCAACTGCACTACTAGGTATTTACTCAAAGAATACAAAAATACTAATTCAAAGGCACACATGTACCCCAATGTTTATAGCAGCATAATTTACATTAGCCAAATTACGGAAACAGCCCAAGTGTCCACCAACCGATAAATTGAATGGATAAAAAGACGTGAGATATATATATCTAGAGAAAGAGAGAGAGAGAGAGAGACATCAGAATATTACTAATCAGCCATAAAAAAGAATGAAATATTGCCATTTGCAACATTATGGAAGGAGATAGAGATTATTATGCTAAGTGATATAAGTCAGTCAGAGAAAGACAAATACCACATGATTTCTCTCATGTAGAATTTAAGAAACAAAACAAATGAACAATGGGGAAAAAAAGAGAAAAAGAAGCAAATCAAGAAACAGACTCTTACCTATAGAGAACAAACTAATGGTTACCAGCAGGAAGGGTTGTGAGGGAATGAGTGAAATGGGGATCAAGGAGTGCACTTGTGATGAACACTGGGTGTTGCATGGAAGTGTTGAAATACTGATTGTACAACTAAAACTGATATCATACTGTATGTTAACTAACGAATTTAAATTAAAAATCAAAAAAATTTAAATGGTGATCAACTCAGAATACCAACATTTTACAACCCCTAATGAATGAATGGATCTAGGAAATGATCATTAGTGGATGATGGCATCATAAAGGAGTACATTAGGTCTCCTCAAAAAAGTAGTCAACATGACCTGATAAAAATGATCAGACTTGAACCTTATCAACACTAACTACCCAGAGAAGAAAACACAAGGACAAATATGTTAAACATACCACATATGTACAGTCATCAAAATCAAGACAGTGAAAAGTAGGCAGGAAATGAAAAAAAAATGGAAGAGAAATCCGTGGTGTAAAAGAGACTTAAGATACATATCAAATAATCATATTTAGGTCTTGTTTGGATTGTATTTCAAACAAACTGTAAAGAAAATATGATAATCAGGAAAATATGAAAACTGAGTATTTGATATTAAATTGTCATTTGTAATGTAATATGATATTGCATTTATGTGTGTCAGTTATTTTTAATAAAATATTTACAGATGAAATAACATGATGCCTAGAATTTATTTTAAGATTTTCTGGTGCCAGGGAGTAAGTGGAGGTATAAATAAAAAATAATGTATGCATTGTACATACATGTATCAATAATTACTTAATCTGGTGAAGCGAATAGTGGATTCGATATACTATTTTTTCTCCTTTTGTATATGTGTGAAATTTTCAATAATAAAACGCTTTTTAGAAGACACCGGGAAGGTTTACAGACACATGCTCTAGGACTTCAGACTTGCACAGTGCCCTAGGGGAAATCCATCGTACCAATGAGCACATACTGACCAGAAAGGCTGCGTGTATATTGTCACAGTAGCAAATTCCTTCTATACCTGAGTTTCCAACACATTTCGCCTCATTCTTTAGATTGCAAGTCAGTGGATTGCCTTTAATGAGGATGAAGATTGCAGTGACTTCTCAAAGTGAACATTTAAGAATAAGGGTACTTCTTAAGCAGTTAACTTTGGGCCTTAAATTAATAAGCCACTAAAGTAACCGTTTTTTGTGTGTGCTTGTATATAGTGGCTTGCAGAAAAGAAAAACAGCCTTGGTGTTTGAATTATAAATTATCACTCATTTCTTTCTTATTCTCCATGTTTTCTTTCTAGATATTTCCACACAATCTACTTAGGTATTCGAAGTCGACAGAGTGGGGAGAATGACAGATGGAGATTTTACTGGAAAATGGTGTATGAGTATGCAGATGTGAGTATGCTGCATTTGCTAGCCACCTTTCTGGAAAGTGCTCCACAGCTGGTCCTGCAGCTCTGCATTATCGTACAGACTCATAGATTACAGGCCCTCCAAGGTAAGGGCTTGCAATTTGGTTTCTGACTTTGGGGAAAGATTGGCTACTTTTGTCACATCCAAAGAACGGTTCTAATACTGTTTATTGACAGAGGCCATGGTTCTCCCTGTTATATATCTGCTATTTGACATGAGAATTTGTGAATTGTGTATTTTCTTCTTCACAATTACTTGTGATGGTTACTTTTTTTTTTTTGCCTTTAAGCTGCCCTCTGAGTAGAAAAAAAAATTCTATGATTTTACATTTGGTCAGAATATAAATAGAGGCAACTAGGTTTTTCTGGCTTGTGTCATTGAGTAATTTCCAAAACTGTGGGAGAAAAAAGGCCTAGTTCTCTCTCTTTCTAATACTATTTATACATATATTTGAACATGAGGATAATCTCTATCATTTCCTTTTGACATTAAGAAACAGGGAGAGTTTAAAAGGAAATGGTAAAGATTACTATAATATTGCTTTCAAAGTCAGAAGGGAAAAATTGTTGTCAATATTTAGTAATACATTGTTTATATACTACTAAGCTTTATTAAAAAATTATCAGATTAATATTTTTGTGTTTTACTCTCTTGTTTGTCTCATAAGTAAGACTGTCACTTATAAGAAATCTACCCCGATGTTTCTTAAGGCTCTGCTACTCAAATCTTTTCTAGCAGCAAGAAAATCAGACAGACCAGTGGGTACACAACTGAATAAGAGGGTGGACAGATAGCCATTTTCTAAATAAAGAGTTTCCTGGTAATATGTCAATCCTATAACTAAATAGATGTTGTGTAACTGTTAACATATTATAATGTGCTCATTTTATTTCCATCTCATCAGAGCCTTTGCTATGACTTCTATGTACACACATGTTGCTGTCCTTTCTGGGCCATGGTCTAACTTGAGATTTGATCTAGTTGGTTTGGGGAATCTCTGCAGTGTCCTTACAACTTTTCATAGCAAGGAGCATATTAGCTTTGACTGGGCATTTTAATTGGTGAGGGGTGGGGACCATATAAGTGGAAAAGAAAGATGGAGGCACTGTACTGGTAGGCAGGGACTCATTTATTTGTGAATGTCTAGCCAACCCTGTCTCTGCACTAGAATAGCTTTGGTCCAAGAAGTTTGAGAAAAGAGTTAAAGAGATCCATGGGGTGTGATATCCCATGCTAGAAAGCAAATTGGGAAAAAAAGACAAAGTAGTGTATTAACACAGGAACAGATGAGAACAGCCTGGAGAAAGCAAGATGTATAAATTAGCTGTAGATGACTGTCTTTAGTGGTGAAAGACCCCAGGCTTGAAGAGGGAGGAGCTGACTTGGCCACTCACTTCTTTGCTGTGAGACCTTGTGCAAGTCACTTAATGTCTCTGGGCCCCAAATTCTCAAATGTAAAAGTCACCAATGAAACTAGATGATCTCCAAACTCCTTGGAGCTCTATTCCCTCTTTGCATCAATGAATGCCCAGTAACCTTCCAGGGCCAGGGATATGCATTAGGAAATGGTCAGTAAATGAGGACATAAATTTAGAGGCAACATCACACTAAATCTCTATCAAAGAATCTCTATCAAAGAATCTCCAGAACAACTTGGCAAAGTCCTGGGATAGTTACATAAGAGGAAAATCCATGCACAAATGTGGAACATTGTAAGCTACCCTTCTGTGGCCCAAGAAATACTGGGTGTCCATACTAGATTTCTAAAAGATTTAGAAAATCATAGAGAAGATTTTATCCTAAAGATGATGGTGATAAAGCAAGAAAGGTGAGAGAGAGCATCAGAAAATGAGATCAGTTTGGCTGGAGAGTTTTATATGGTTTTATAGGAAAAAAAATAGAAAGCAAACCTTAGTTTTTCTGAGATTATTCTTTCTAAACATAGGAATCAAAATTTCTGCTTCACACAGTTGTGTCTCTTCACTGACACCTGGTGTCCCCAGTTTATCTGTTAAGCTCACATTTGCATGAGGTTTACTTTGGGAGCCACACCTCATCCTCAGCCAAGGCAAGTCAGGCTGTCAAAATCAGAAAGCTGTAGGGGAAATGTGTTCTGTATCACTCCCAATGTGGTCAAAAGACAGGCTGATTGAAAGATCACTAGGATCAGTGCAAGTCATTGAGCGCGAGGTGAGGAATTAGCCTTCTGCCTGGGTCATAGTGTTGCCATTTTTTTGATAAGGGAGGTGGGCAGAAAGTTATTTCAAAAGATCAAACAATGGAAAATACCTGACAGCAAACAACAACCACAAAACCTCCAGCAAATGAAGATGAGCCCAGGCAATACCATCTAAATCAGTTTGCATTTTGAAGAGAAACCTGTCTTCAGAGAGAGCTTCCAAATTCAACCCTCCACTGATAGATGATTCCACTTTAAATGAACCAGCTTATAAATTAAACGGTGTGAATAAATTACAGGAACAGAGCTTTTCCCCTCTGGAGAAGAAAAATAAATGTGATAGAAGCTATTCTGACATATATTTTCATATATATTTATGGTATAAGGTTCTTGGGATTTATATATAAAAACACAACTTTCTGCAATGGATGCAAATAATCAATGGCATGAACCCTCTGAACTATTTACAAATAACTCTGCATTAAAATCTTTAAAATATTTTTATTTAGCAGATAGAGAGTGGTCCTAAGTCTGCAAGTCATTCTTGTAAATACCTGTCTAGAATTATTAGTTTTTAGGGTAGAAACAATATGCTTTTTTATCCCAACTTCAACCACCTATTACTCTGAAGGACACTCTTTAAAAAACCAATAAGGAGGGAGGTCTGGGTGGCTCAGTCAGTTAAGTATCTGCCTTTGCCTCAGGTCTTGATCTCAGGGTCCTGGGATGGAGTCCCATGTTGGACTCCCCGCTCAGTGGGGAGTTTGCTTCTCCCTCTGCCCCTCCCCTTGCTTGTGCTCACTCTCTAATTAATAAACAAACAAACAAACAAACAAACTCTTTAGAAATAAAAAACCAATAAAATCAAAGAAAAGATGTGATATTTTAAAACTGATGCTTAAAAATTGTATTCTCCTTATGAAAGTTGGCATAGCCCTAAAACACTGTTAGCTGTGAAAATCCCTTCTCAGCAACCCTAACTTACTGAATCATTAAGTCAGAGATACCTCATTGTGCTGGAGGCTGGCAGGTTTAGTGGTGAGCCATGCACGTAAAGTATAATGCTTTCTCAGTTTGCACCGTCCCAGGAAGGACAGTTTGGCTCCTGTCCTGAGACCAGGAAGCAGAATAAGTCAGAAACTTGAAAATGAACATCCAGTCTTTTCACTCCACAATGTTACCTTAGACACAACTACTGCTTTTCATTGGATCTGGAGTTTTCCTAGGAATATCTATCTCTGAAGTGAAGAAATACTCGAGAGGATCCAGTTGTACGCACATAGCTAACTAAGAAGGCACATAGTGCATAAGACCACTTAGTATATAGTGTCTTAGATAGAGTTTTCAGTATACATCTTGCTATGATTTTCCAGTCTAATTCCATATCCCTGCCAGAAGAGGAAAAGACAGAGAGAGAGAGAGAGAAATGCAGGAAGGAAAGAAAGAGGAATCGAAGGAGAAAGACTACATGATAAACCAAGATGGGCAATGGTGTACCTACCTGTTCATCTCAATTTAAGGACACTGCTCTTGGTGTTAAAGACATAAGATGTGGTCCACGGCCTGCCTGTCCTATATTTAAGCAACATTTCAAACTCGTCCAGGGCCTTTGATTGTATCTAAATAATACAAGAAAAGGTAGAAGGTTGACTGTTTACCTTCTGTACAAAGAAATTACCCTACTTGGCCCTTTGGTTGTAAAATGAGCAAGCTGTGCTTAGAGAGTCTCTAAGTCACTTTTAGTTTTGTGAGCGTGATTCTGTGAGTACTCAGTTTGGTTGTGTAAACCCGATGTTGGCAGAGAAGATACTGATTCACCTACGAAGAAGTATCCACAGGCCTTCTCTAGCAGTACAGCATTGCTCAGCACCATGCTCCATGTGGTCAAAGGGTGTGCTCCATGGAGCAGCCCAGGGAATGCTGTGCAGGATCATGGCACCCATGTATTTATTCCTCCCAGAGTGTGTGCTGTGTAAGTCACACTCCAGGTTGGTGCAGCTCAGTTGCCTGGCTCTAGCAGCCAGGTGTGCATGCCTACCAGTGAAGCCATCATGAAGGAACCATCTAGGTAAACCAGAAGGAATGCAAGTTGCATGCCAATCTGCTAACCCAAATATTTCCACCTTTTTTTTTTCAGCTGGCTTTAGTTCTTCATTTCCAGTGTCCACATTTACTTGTCATTACTAGAAAATCTCATTTAACACTCTACATGTACTTAGCTGTGATGTGCAGAGTGAGTGACAAAGAAATGCCTTCCCACAGGCCATGTGTCCAGAACAGTTTTGTTGAGCAAGAAAAACACCAACACCTACTTCGATTCTGTTGTCTTCAGATCCAAAACCCCACGTGTTGCCCCTTTTGCCAACAGTTTATCCTGAATACTTCATGAAAAGAAGAGAGGAAAGGGGGCTGGGAGAAGTTTTTAATTATTCTTTTCCTGTCTTGCCTCCCATGAGACCATCAGGGAAGTAACAAGTTAAGGGGCCGTCCTCAAACATCTGGCACTGTGCCCAACAAACCCAAGTAACTAAGATATCCCCAAAGTGTGAAAAACACTTTATTTTCCATGTCCTGATGAGGATTTTCAAGACCTAAGTCATGGGATATCCAGTCAGCTCAACTTTACTGTCAAGCAGGTGGAGCCACACCCAACTGCCTTTACATAGTTCAAGTCAGAGAAGAAACCCAGCTACCTTCAGGCTCAAGGCCTTCTTCCTCTGCCAGATGCCTGGCTTCACCTCTGGGTTTCTTCAGGGAGGAGAAGCACAGGCAAGAGTTCCAGCCTGTGAGTGGGACTGTGGCCCACATCCCTTTAGATCTGTCTACTTTGCAGTTGCTATTTTCATTCGTTAATTAACACATTTATCGAATGTCTATTATGTGCATGACGGTGTGTGAAGCTCTGC